TTCCTCTGGCGCGACCCGGTACGGCGGCCGATGCACAGGGAACGCATCCTCGTCGGTGACGATACGATGTTTCGCAACAGTTGTTTCGCGCTCTTTCGACGTCGTCGCAAAGTAGTCGCTGAATTTGGCGAGGAGGTCTTTGAGCTGTCGTCGTTCGGTGGCACTAAGCCAGTGTTGGAAAGTAGTTCAAGTACATTGTACTTAAAGTACTATTTCAAGTAGATTTAGGAAAGTTGTACTTTACTTGAAGTACATTTTCTGAGTATGTACTTGTACTTTACTTAAAATACTTTTTTCTGGTACTTTCCGAGGAAAGTACAATGCCCAGCTTCAAACTACAGCCCCTAAATTTGATTTTCTTAAATTTGCATCACGAAATGATGCTTTGTCAACTCCCAAAAAATAGTGGGAAGGATGTTCTACTCTCACCAGAAACGTGAGCAGACGACGCATCGCTCTGTTAGTTCTGGGGGCGGCTTTCCCGTAGCTTTTCGAACTCTCGTTACTTCTCGGTCGGTCAGTGCGAGTGGGGATGTTTAAAATATTAGGAGAGCAAAATTAATCATAATGTGGCACCTGAGATGTGGTGCGGAAAAATTCAACTTTCAATTCTAAGAAAAATACAACAGAAGAGAACGCCAGAATGTTTTCAGACATTCTCGTTTGTCTTCTCCTTCGACTTGAAAGTTTCTTATTTTTTTATTTTTGCACCCCAACTACGTCACATTATTATTAATTATACCAGCTCGCTTGCGCACTCATTATTTTTTTTTTTCATTAAGGAGAAAACACTCCTCTATGAGAGGATTGCTTGCGGAAGCTACGGGGCTGACGCCATGCTTTCTCCTAGTACATTTAACCACTTTCGGTGCAACAATACAGTGCAAGCGGTGCCAAATTCAGAAGAGGGGCTTCTGAATTTGGCTCCATTCCTGAAAAATATCTACTCTGTGGCCACTTGACTTCATCAAATATTCGCCGCTCTTTTTGAAAATAGGTCATGCAGCCTGAATACCATTGCAAGCCGGCAATGCATACGTTAAAAAATCACTGTATAGGGGAATAAAGGGCGTAATAAATGTGTTAAATACTTGTACCTTACTTTGAAAGTACACTGTATTTATAGTACTTTATTTCAAGTACATTGCATCTGATGTACTTACCACTTTACTTGAAGTACATCCCGTCTCATTTATTTGTACTTTACTTAAAATACCTTTTAGATGTACTTTACCCAATACTGCACTATGCTTGGGGTTAATGTCAAGCTGCGGCGGCGGCGTACTGTATGGCTAAGATGGTAAAAGCTCATCGGAGGTCGCGGCCATTTCGGCGGCGTTCCGGAGTTCCTCGACAGCGCCAACAGCAGCACCCTTTGTGAGGTGCTGCGTCTCCTGTCGAAAGTTCGACACGAGGACCACTGTGCGTCCATTTTGCAGCTTTGTTACGCCCCTTGCAACGCCTATTCCACTTCCGAGAAGCAGTTGGACGTTGCCTTCCAGAAGTACCGTCCCGATGGCGACTGCATCGGTCACAACGGGCACAAGAACACTCGAACGCGGCGGCAGGTGCACGTGGTGTGCAATAACTCGGACGGTCGCTGGCGTCGTTTTGAATCCCTGCGGAGCTGGGACGGGCTTTCGCAGCGTCAATCTCTTCGCCCCAAGGTCGATCACGGCACCCTATTCGCACATGAAGTTCATGCCAAGGATGACGTCTCTCGAACTGTCCGGACGACGAATTTCCCTGGACAGGGCTCCCCGTGGATGCCCACGCCTGCAGTACGCCTTCTCACTGGTGTAATGAAATGCCCGCCAGCGGTTCGTATTTTCGAGCCGTCCCACGGCGTCATCACTTTGCAAAGGCGGCGAGAGAGCTTTTCACTCTAACCGTAATAGTCTGCTCTGATGTCGATGAGCGCCGTCACGTCGTGGCCGTCGATGGTAACTTCGAGGGTATTTGACACCGTCGCAGAAGCGTCGTTCCGATTCGTCGCGTCGTTAGTTTGAGTGCTTTCCGACGTTTGTGGAGGATATTGGCGTCGTTCGGCCCTCGGCGTTACCACTTCCCGGTATTGCCGCACTTAGTTTTCCCAGCGAGTCAGGGGAGAGAGGCTATCCCGGCGGGACCTACGATGAGGCGATGCAGTGATGAATGGCAAATTCCAATTAAAGCAACTCTTTTCATGGCAATTACGAAAAATTTAACTCCTCTACATCTTGATTAAAGCAACACTGGGAAGAATATGCCCACAGTTGCGACAAACCAAAATTACTTAGGAGTATTTTTCTGTCTGTACATTGTTTGAAAATTTTCTGTCAATCAAACATAAAAAAATGAATCATGCAACGCCATCGAAATGTCTTTAAGATACTCTCAAAATCAACTTCAAAACAGCGTTTTGAAGATTTGACTTTGCCAGTTGTGAAAGGGGCTGTGCAACGACATTGGGTAGGAATATTTCTTACTTTACACCAGCTTCCTGGCACTTGTGGGACACGAGAATACTCGAACGCAACACCACTGACTGAGAAGTGTCTTTGTGGCGGCGGAATTCAAAGAATGAAAGCGGAGCTTTTCTTTCAGTCTCTCCTTCCAAAAGCCGCCTTTTGCCCCTTCGCGAAATTTGATGACGGAGCTATGGGGACAATGGCAACAGTACAATCCCCGGGAATGCGCAATCGAGCTTTGCGGTGACTATATTCAAATGCTGCTCACACAGTGGACGCGAAGACTGCGTACGCATTCGATCTGGGCTCGTGACAATCGATGCCTCGACATGCATTCAGATAGTGGCCCGTGTCCAATCACTGCAACGACGGCAATAGCCGAGCCATAACATCTGACATCTGACCTGTCATGGACCACTCATATAACAACTGTCATCGCCGATGCTAACCGCACTCTCGGATTTCTTCGCCGTAACCTCAGACAAGCTACATAACCCGTAAAACAACTAGCTTATACTACCTTGGTCAGAACTAAACTGGAATTCGCTTCTTCCATATGGTCACCGTGGCAGGCATACCTAACTAACAACCTGGAATCCGTTCAAAGCAGGGCCTTCCGTTTTATTTATTCGGACTATTCCCCTTACGCAAGCATATCTGGACTTCGCCAATCAGCTAACCTTGACACTCTTTCTCACCGCCGCAAGGTGTCTCGTCCTTCTCTTCTTCATCGGGTCTTTTATTACAACAGTCATCTCAGACAAAGCTTGTTATCACCTTCTTACCGCATTTTCCCTCGTCTCGACCATTCTTGTAAACTCCGTCCGATTTCATCGTCAACCGTCACTCACCAAATGTCTACTTTACCATTGGCCATTGACGACTGGAACTCACTGCCTGACGTAATTGTTTCCTTATCTGATACTGAGAAATTTTCTGCAGCCATTAGCTTGTTTTTTTCTAACCCATAACTAAATTACAGCGTGTTTTTGTAGATAAATAGTTTTGTTACTTGTTTTTTTTGTTTGTTTTTTAAATGTTCACTCTCTTGTATAATGCCCCCTGGGCCTTCAAGGAATAATAAATAATGATGACGATGATGATAACAATGTCTGGAACTCAGCGCGTGTCCTGTGCTTTGCCAACCCCAGCGCGTGGCTATGATCAACATTGGCGGCATATAATCGGCTCCAGATCACGTGGCGGCTTGCTCTTGCTGCGAGTTGAAAGGGTGAACGGTGCTCGTTTTCCTTTAATTTTCTTCTGAAACTTCTATTGCCTGGGGTAAAAAACGAACGCGTGTTTCATAGGTCATTAACGTCAGGGATTCGTTTTAAGCGGTATTTGCGCAAAGTAGAAAAATTGTTGCATCGCCCCTTGAAGTATGTCAGCGCTGCATAAAAACAATTCACGCGACACGCAAAAAAAAAAAAAAAAAAGGAACTACAAAGAATTTAGAACACGGCACTTCGTTTATCTGCAACATGTACCCCCAAAATTATTTTTTTTTTCGCCAAAATAAATTACTCATCGCCGAACGCTCATTCTCCGCCCAAATGTAGCCCTAGCGGTTCGAGCCTGGTGCGAAAGTTTTGAAACTAAACATTGATTAATACAAAAGTTATAAGTGATCGTTGAACATTTCAATAGCAAACCATGGACTCAGTTTTCGCCAATTTCCAGCGTCTGTCGCCATTCAGCTTCATGTATTTGAGAGCTCCATCGCACGCCATTTTTCAATCGGAAATTTAAGGAAATAATTTTCGAACAAAATAAGAGTTAGTTCTAGAACTTTGTCACCTGGTTTGGACATCTAGGGCTACATTTGGGGGAACAATGAGCGTTCAGCGATGCGTAGATTATTTTTGCTCGTAAGGAAATGAATAAAAAAATAAAGAGTTGAACGTTGAGCGCGTTGGTTTTAATAACTTGTTACAAAAAGCATGATAATAAAAAAGGCAAACAAAAGCGGAAGATGTCCGTCCTTGTCGATCCTTTTCGTTTATTCTTTTTGTAAAAGTTATTGAGAAAAAAAAGTAATTTCTTGGTGGACAGCCTGTACAATGATATAAATTAAGCACATAGATTACTGAATTGCGACATAGAGCTGGGTTTAACAACATAGAAATACAAAGGCAAATAAATCGCTTGAAAATGTTAATTTAAATTAATAATGGTGCCGACATGTTAAACAAAGATGAACATAATAAATGTTTAAACTCCCGTAAAGTTCGAAACAAGCACAACAGGCATTTGATCTTTACATGTGCTCTTCGAATGTTATTACATTTTTATTTTTTGTAAGGTGTATAGATCATTGGAATAGCTTTCCCGATAATGTTTTCAATTGCCCAAAAAGATTCTTAATAGTAACAAAAAAAGCTTGCCACGAATTTGTTGCACTATTTGCTGACTGTTTATTATGATCATGTGTTCTTTGTAATGAATACCCAGTCCTACCGTGGTTGGTCGATAACTGCCAGTGCGAAAAAAAAAAATTCTCGAGTGAATGTTTTCCTAAGATAAACATTCGAATTTTTGTTTCTTCAGATGCGAAATCAATGAGTGGGAACTGGTATCTCGATGAAAAGCTGACCCACATGCCCCAAGAATGTAAGCAATATCTGGAAAATCAATTTCACAAAGAGTGCAGAAAGATTGGTGGCGAGGTAAGGTGCTCACCTGGCTGGTTAGCGTGACAACTACATGCAACGTTATTATGGCCCGTTTAGAAAGTTGTGTTCAGAGCGATCGCTACGACTACGAACGGTAGTACCCGGTTGTAACGACGAGTTTCTGTGGCAACGAGGTGCCAAACGGCCGTGTCGTTCGCAACGCGAAAAGTTGAACCGTGCTAAACTTTTTCACTCTACGTTTGGGAACAAACGGAGCGACCACATCGTTAAAACAACCAAGGGCCGAGGAAAGCTCGGCCGCGCATGTTTCATACAGGTCGTGGTTGCTGATATCCGTTTAAAAACATGGCGTCGGTGGTGATTGTCGACGTGGTAAGCGTGGTGGAAGGTCCTCATTCCGCGTATATAGAGTGTTATCATGGGGTGTGAATTCTTGCCTATCTTGCGATGATGAACAAGCAAGTCCTAGAGGAGAAGATCCATCTACTTGTGCGGCGATGGCGGCCCCTCGTATAGCAGGAATGCTCGTGCCGCCGCCCTCTCCCTCGAAACCCAATCCTTAGCCTTCTCAATTCTCTGCCACTCCTCCCCCGGTCATCGCACCATCGTCTCCGACTGTCAGGATGCGCTTCGCGCCTTCATTGGTTACGCGATTCCTTCCTGCGTTCTGCGCACACTTTCAGTTCACCTGGCCTTATACCCCACAGAACCTAAACACTCCATAAGGTTCCAGGCCACGCCGGAGTGCCTGGATACGTGTTGACTGACCAACTCTCCTGTGCTGCAATCCCCACGGAAGACTCGCGCTCTCCCTGCCCTAACCGCTTCCATCCCCCCAGACATATCTCGCCAGAAACAAGCTAGTCGCCGCAGAACCCTTGCATAGCTCCTGCATGACTCGTGTCAAGACGCCTGTCTTGTCCGGCAAGCCCAGGCACCCGGCCTCCTCACCTCTCACATCATACGCTATCAAAGATCGGCTGTATAACACGAGAGCACACAACACTAGTGCGCCAACGGGAGAGCGCGCGACGGGAGAGCGTCACGGCACCAGAGCACCGCGACACCAAAGCGCACGACAGGAGAGCGCCGCGGCATGAGAGCGCGTGTCATTAGAGCGGGCGTCGTGAGGGCGCATGTGCGCGCTTTGGAAATGATCGATATTGGGGTCTTCACACACATGTTTTCACGGAGGTGACATTTTAACACCAAATGGAGTCGCGTTTGAAATGCTTGATGTCACTTAATTTGATGAGTATGCAAATTAAGCTGGACGAAGTGACAGAAGCTTGTTGAAAGCAGCGGTCTGCAGTCACGCCATTTAACATCATTTATTTCGTTCAGGTTATCTATACTAACACAATACATTACTGCAGCTGCAATCGCTGCCGCTTATAGAGTGCTACTTTTAAAATTTGTCACTACTTCCACTCTCGAAACAATTCTAGTTGTTATGTTTGTCCACCAGAAACAAAAATTCGCTTCATATATAAATATGGGTGAAAAAGAAATCAGTATAGCGATGAGCTTTTTGGGGCGGATTGAACATTTTAGTCTACTGAGAGTAAGGTTACAGGATAGTACCGTGCGCGCAGGTGTTACATAACTATAATGTTTAATTCTGGCAAATCGGAACGCACTCGAAACCAACCTGTTCGTTCCTATGAATAATGACGAAATATAAAGGTGCACTCACAAATTGTGCATGTGCTGGCTGTCGCGTAACAGATAATCAAATGTATACAACTAGATTCCTGGCCGGTTCCATTTTTTGTGTTCGTGCGTTTGGCGCCCAATTTTCTCGTTTTCCGAAGCGACAAACATGCGCATGCTGGGCTGAGGAGGTCGCACGCTGGGCTGAGGACTTGTGATTCTTGAAATGGTGTATAGAAGGGGATTCGATACCTGAGCATTCTGCCACGGGATAAAGGCACCCTATACTCTGTTTCACTTTATGATGTACCGCAGGAAAGGCTACAAGCGCGAGCTCCTTGCTCTAGGGCACATCTCGGCGGCACAAGCTCTCGTGCGTGAAGAGTAGCTCCCAACGCTATGAGCTCGCGCTTCTAGCCTTCTCTGCGGTACAACATGAGGTGAAACGGAGTATAGTGACGGCAGCTGTTGTTCAGCGCCCTCGTCACGCGCGCTGTCGTGCCGAGGCGCTCTGCTGTCGTGCGCTCTCGTGTTGATGCGCTTGCCTGTCATGCCCTCTGCCGTCGGCGCTCTCGTGTCGCGCGCTCTCCAGGCGCCCCCCATCTTGACCGGTCCCGCTCCCGCCCCCGATGCGCATCACGATACCCTGACACCCCGCACGTGCTCTGGGACTGTCCGCGAACGCTTTTATCCTCATTAAATTGTACGCAGCTAAGTACAGCTATCGCTACTTAAAAATAAGAACGGTTGAGAGGAGCTGGGTTTGTCCCGACCACAGCACGAGCTTCCAAGCTTCGACCACGCATCGGCGTCTCGGGAGCATCCAGCGTGTAGTCATTCAGTCAGTCAAAGCATTTATTGAGCCGAGAAGTATGATACAGGGGAGCGGGAAGATAGAGTCCGTGTCGGTGGCTTCGCGGCTTGGACAAGAGGGTACGTGCAAGCAAAGAAAGGCTAAAGGCAACAAGTGCGCGCTAAATGCCGGGCGCTCCAGAGAGACGTCTAGCTGCTTTTGCCTTGTCAGTGACTATAGGTAACTGCATTAATTTAGTTTTTAGGCTACTGAGCATCCGTATTATTTGTAAAGGCGTCTGACAGGTATTTCACGCAATGTCTATTCCAGTTCCAAAGGTTTGAGGTTTGCAAAGTACAATGTATGGTAAGAACGAATAATTTTGTAAGAAATGAGTACGTAAGGTTGAAGGATGGACTTCCTTGCGGACCATATGGTGAGGTAAGTGACAGCTGAAAGGCTGCGATGCATAGCGTTTATTTAACAAAAATCATCAAATTAATGCTCATAAAAAAACAAAAACAATCTTTGCTGGGGGAAAGACATCATACAACGAAACGGCGAATGCTGCATATATCCCACCTCCGCTAATTGCATAAGATATTGTTGCGGACTTGTGGCTTATGGCCTTTGTAGCCTCCAGCAGCCCTATGAAAAATATAAAACAACCATACAGGTGACACTCGCGACCCATGTCCCGTAATACCATATAAAAATTGTATGATATAAAATATATTTTTTGTTTTTGAGTGAAGAAAGCACAGATCAATTAACCATTCTGCAATTAAGCAGCCTTTTCAATCGTCTGTTTGACGCACTATTGCAATCCGATATACGGCGTTTGAAGGAGAATCCATGAATAGAAGTATAGATTCATGTTTGTTTAGAAGTTTTGCGATTTCAGAATAGAAAGAAAGCATAACGCTGACAAAACAGGTTACGTATTGGCTTTGCCTTGTAGGATTTTCCGGAAATGTCCATTTGATAGTTGGTGACGGTTGTTTACAGTAATTTACTTGTCAGGGGGCAGAGAAATGAAAGTATTGTTTTCCACCTGTCTTATCGTTTTACAGTTAGCTATATTTCAGAATGAATTAAAAAAAAAAAAAAAACATGAAGTAACACTGGCGGCCGCCAAATTTAGAGAATCACTTCTTGCGCGGAGCGTGTCATTGGATTCGAGCTCACGCCGAGTGCGGCCAAAGCACTCCTGTCAAATATGTTTGTCACCGAGTACGCGACAAACGCTTACTCGTGTCTCATGAATGCTCAAAGTGTGTGCCGAAAATATGGCGGCCTCGGAGAAATTATTGGAGGGCGCGCATTTATGAGAAGCGACCTATCAAGTAAATGCGGCACACAGTTTTTTTTTTTAGAGCGCAGCTCTTAGGGGCCCGTTTCCAGCCTGAGCGGCGTCGCCGTTGGCGTCGGCGTCGCCGTCGCCGTCGGCGTCGGCGTCGGCGTAACCGCGCCCCTCCCTCTCCTTCTCCCCCTCCTCCTCCCCTCCTCCTCCTCCCCCTTCTCCTCCCCTCCTCCTCCCCCCCTCTTCCTCCTCCCCCTCCTCCTCCTCCCCCTCCTTCTCCTCCTCCTCCCCTCATTGTCCGGCTTGAGCGGCAAGGAGGAAAGCAGTACGAAGGTGGAGGAGGGGGGGAGGAGAGACGAGGAGGCGGAGGCGAGGGGAGGGGAGGAGCTTGAAGGACGAGGAGGTGGTAAAGGAGAGGGACGGGGAGCAGGAGGGGAGGAGGACTAGCAGGCATGATCACGAGGGAGGAGGAGGAATATACCCTCCACTCCTCCTCCTCAAGAGCTGCGCTCCAATTCGGCGTTACAGGAAGTTGTAAACGGCTTTCACTTTTTAAATATTGTGTATTTACTTGCAAGGTAGGTGTATAAAATATGAAGTATTGTTTGCTCCTTCAAATAGCAAAGATAACTTATCATCCACAATACTACCAAATTTAGTTTACAGTTCATCGTCATAGGAGCTTTTAATGTGGTATTGTAAGATATGGGCCGTATTATAGTCTGTTTAGTATGTAGGCACATAGCGTAGTAAGATATATATTTGTTCATACATACAGGGTGTACACCAAAATTTATACTTTGAGCGCTAACACATCTGTTCGTCTTCGTTTTCTTCGATTGTAATTTTATGGTCAGACCGTCCCACAAATGCACTCCCGTCATTTTTCTTCCTGCTCTAATTTTGTCTAAGCGTCAAGTTTTACAGAAAGTCAATTACGCAAATGACGACGACGAGATCGTCACGGACGAACTTGCCGTCGGTCTGGACGCTCTTACACGTAAGAGCGCTTTTTCATGAAATGGTGCCCACACAAAACCTTCGCGCCTACGGGGCCAAGCTATCGCGCGCGACACTACGTTTCCAATTTTTCCGTCGCGTCCTACTGCACAACAGTCTTCGCGCGACATTTGGAACTGCTTTCGTGTTCTCTGTATTCTCTGATTGCAAGCTACACATGTGATCGGAGAGGAAGCAGGCAAGCCGATGTCGAAGGACCAAGGGTAGCTGAGCGAGCCAGCCGGGCGTACCTCCACGCCGGGCGGCACATCGGAAATTCCTCATGGAGTAAAACCACGAAGGAATCCCAGGGCCCTGGTTTGCCTGTTTGAACGTCCCTCTCTTTCGCCCAAGCAGAGATAATAATCACCACGGCGGGACCAAAGGACTGGGAGATCGCAGCAGGCAGCGATGTCCCGGCCCCGCTTGGTCCCGCCGTGTAGATTAGTGCCGTAGGAGACGCCCGTGGCCCTTTCGCGCTCACGCTCTTTGTATGGGAAAAAACGACTCGTGTCAGTAAACCGACCCTCGTTGACGGCGACGTACTACCATGGGAAGGACCACCGAGGACGGCCGGCGGCGGCGACACGATGGCTGTAGAATATTGGCGGTAAACAACAGTTTTGGAGGCGAAAACGATCAACACCGCGGAAAGCAAAAAAGAAAAAAAAAAAAAACGCGTCCGCCTTGTGACAATAATTGCGCGTAAATGGGCACCGATAGGGCCTTAAAAGTAACAAAAGAAAGTTGCCGCCGCCGCGTGTGTCTACACACCGTCTCACTAAAACCGTGCAGTACAAGCTACAGGCGAGAGAGTGTATCCATATATGTTAAAGAGGAGGGAAAAGAGAAATGGGGGAATCCCAGCCCTTCTCTGTCGTTCCTCCTTCCTCTCTTCTTGAACAGGTTGGCATACGCTCTTTCCCCTGTAGGGCTACTCTGCTAAGTTTTAGTGAGACGGAGTATACTTGCCGGTGTGAGCGCACTTGTGACCTACTTGAAAAGAGGCCAATAAAGCGTACCGGATTCGCGCCATGGTTTTACTCCGTAAGAATATAAACTATGCGCGACGAGGCGGAAGGTCAAAGGGCAGGGGGACGAGGGCGACAATAATGTTGGAGTTGCCGTGTAGTGCGACAGGGTGCGAGTGCGGCGAGCTTGGGCAAAGCTATAGTCGGTGAGAGGTTAAAAAGAGTTCAGGGAAAACTCCCTCATTCTCTTTCCCGTTTAGCAGAGCGAACGCTAGAGAGGAGGTCGCCTCCTCCCCTGCGTTCTTCTCCGCTAAAATGGAAAGAGGTGCGAGAAGTTTCCCCTGAATCTTTAACCTGTCACGGACTTTAAAGGCCGCTGTACAAACGGGACGTTCTGCAGGGAAGAACCTTCTCTCCCGAAGCTGGAGACGGAAAGGGAAAGGGCCAGCGTTGGGTGGAAAGGGCGTCTAGAGAATGGGATTAACCTCGGGGCGAGCCATCCTCTCGAGAAGGAGTGGGGACGGAACAAAGCTGCCGTGGGGGTTCCGGCTCCCAGGTGGAAGATAAGCTTGTCAAACGGCGACCTCGGATGCGAGGACGGGCACGTCAGAGAATTTGAAAATAGCTGCTTGATTAGCCGGACGACCCAGTGCGGTCTACTGGCTCTAGAAGGTGACTCGGATGAAGAAAACTCGTTTTGTTCCAAAACTCTAACAGCATTCTGGAACGTGAACTTTTCCCACAAATAAAAACAACACATACATGAAAAACTACGAAGGCACCTAAGCTTTCTCCTATGATGTGAGAATGCGTGAGTATTACAAGCAGAGTTATGTCGGCGCAACTTGCAATATAGAAAGAAAAAAAAAAGTTTTGTTGGCGCAACTAGGCGCAACGAATAGCGCGCTAGTTTCACGATCAAGAGGGCCTAGCTTCGAAACCGGGCAGGGGATGGTTTTCTTTCTCGTGTTATTTTTTATTTCGTTTATATTTTTGTTGGGTCACGTGTCAATAAAAATCAAATGAACAGAAATTTTTTTTGGCCACGTCACCAGAGATTTCTTTTTTCTTATTTCTCCTTTTCTTCTGTCTTTTTTTTCTTTTTTTTTCGGTTTACGCTCCCTTTTGCAAAACTCTTTGCACCTATTTCGCGTTACTTTGGCGTTAGCCAAATCATTTTATTTATGGCAGGGAATTCTGCCGTACGTATCTTATGTTACTATTACCAATCCTGGCTTGCAATACGCATAAAGAATTTCGTCCGGCAACCAGTTTGGGAATGACGAGGCCAAATTTGTGTTATAATTGTTTTGTGGTATAAGCATAATTTCGGCCTCGTTATCCGTCGGTCTCTATGATTGGCTCTTCAAGTATATTTTGGGAAGGCAGACGACTGGCATTTTTAGAGTGCACGTGTGTCGACCAGAGTGAACATTGCTGAAGCGCCTCCAGTGTGATTTTGGCCGTAAATTACTGGAGGCACCGGGCAAACCGCAATGTAGAAAAGTATCTACCTTTCTGGTTTCACAAAGAGCTATGAGACGGACGAATCCCAGCCGAGTCAAACTACCGGCTTGCAAACGCAATCGTGTTGACAATAGCAAGGAGTTTGTATGACTCTCTCTGGCGGTTTGCAGAGGGTAAAGGCACGGAGGTAATATATGTTTTCGCCTAGTCACCTCGCAAACGGTCGGGTATTGGATGTAGAGATCAATTTCGCTTGGTTTTATTTCCGGGATTATAGCTTGATTTTTGTGTTCCTAATTTCCCAGACAGAACGAAATCGCGTTTCTCGTGTGGCGTCACGGCGGTGAGACATAAATCAATCAGTGTACCGGAATTCGACGCTTGTGCTCGTTCTATAGCGCTTTTAAAAGCCGTGCGATCACGGCTGTGCAACGTCAACAATGCATAAACTGCAGTTACTTGTACTCGTATTGCATCGTGAGGGAACGACTATGACTGGGTAAACAAAAATGGGGAGAATGGGTGCGTGTGATTTGTTGAAGTTCGAATCAACAAATCAAGCTTCAACGAATGCGATAGTATTGCATTCACTCAACCAGCTATATGAGTTTTCAGACGGTATATACCTTCCAAGTATGCGATTCGTGTTCTGCCAGTGGTAAAAAAAAAAAAAAAAGTTTACGGTGACTCGAGCTGCTCGTAAGCGTAATCTTGGGGTCGATGCACGACGAGGGGTCTTCAATCATAAAAATTGTTTGATTAAGATTATTGGCAACGCTACAAATTTGAAAGCCAAGCAGTGAAGGCAACGGTATTCTTATAAGTATTATATACATTTTCTTTTACACTGTTTGAATACACTGCCGTCGTTATGTTCTTGAATTATTGGCTAGCTTGTGGCGGACAGGGAAATCTTGCAGGACCATTATGATAGGACCTACACTAAACCTGCCGCGCTTCGAAATATGTTAGTCTAATGCATACAAGCTTTTTCAAGGTGGACGGAGCGTTGCGCATCCGGCAAAGCGCATGTGGTCGCTGCCCGCGGCGTTTTTTTTTTTTTTTTTCTTTTTTCGATCAGCGAAATAATTTTAGTCAAGCAGCAGGCCCCCTCTTCGGCGGGTTAGGCCGGATTAACGGAGGCGTCTCCTAATCCACTCTCCGTGTTGTCCCCTCGGGGGAGGGCGGTAAACAGGTGGGGGAGGGCGGTGAAGGAAGGAAAAGAGGGCAGGAGAGGAGGAAACGCAAAAAAAAGTGGAAAGCGCGAACTGTACGGCGGCCTTTAAGACGTTGCGGAAAAACAAAGTGCTAAAAGAAGGGAAAGGAAACAATCGAGATATCGAGCCCATGCCGTTCGTCGTACAAGCGACTTTGGCTTGGGCAAGCATGGGGCCATGGGAAAGTCTAAAATGAGAGAGCGTACACGGTCATGATCACGGGGTTTATGTACAATATGTCGTGACTAACTTTGCCAGGGTGCTTCGTTACCAGATTAAAAATTATGAACATTCGTATATTGAGTACTGCAATCATTAGAGCTGTACCAACTCTACTAAAAGTACACTACAGAGAGCTGCTGCTAGGTGACTGACGATCGAAGCACGTGCGGCGGAACAAAGCCGTTTTTGTCCTTTTTGCATTGCCAATAAAGGCAAGCGCCAGTGACTAATAAAAGCCTTTTTGCCGGCGACACTAGACATGCTGCCAGTGGCCAGTGGCACTCTTCTCTCGCATTCATCACAAATCAAGCGTTGTTAGAATATCTCTCTGTACGACTCATTCCGAGAATCATAATTAAGTTTGTAGTACAGGTTGAGCATCATTTGCCACGCTCCTCTTCAAATCGCGGATATATTTCTTTTTAGTTGAACAAATGACTGGAGGCGGGCTAGCGAAGAAAACACAGAAGTACCCCGCAGCGACGCGCCTGAGAAACTATAAGAGCGCAGTTGCAGTTGGCAGGTGACATTTAAAAGCAACAGCAAGGTCATTTTAAAGTTCAAATGACTACTTCCAATAAATATCTAACTCGGGTTAAGTCTGTACATAATGACGTTAAATTATATAACTTAAGTTTTAAAAGAAATCCTTCTTTGCAAAACGTCACTTCGGCCACGGTGACATGCATGCTCAATAAACCAACGTGATTGCAATGAAAACGTCGCCAACCAGAAGCCTAACCGTTCCAAATTTGTTACATATTTAACTGTCAAATATCACGTTTGAGAGCTTCATTGAAACAAATTGTTTCACTGGTACAAAACACGAACATTACGTTAAGGACAAAGACGATGCACCTATTACTATCAAAGCTTTTGACACACTACCTTGCGAGGCGCGAGAATACTTTGCCAGGCCGCGTCACAGCCCCTACCTAGCCTTTCGCTGCGGTTCAATCGAAGAAGAATAGAAGCATACCCGTCTAACTTTCGCGGCCTAACCCTTTTTAATATTGAGAGATATTCTGTCACTTTATAGGCCGCGTATTCTGCTTTCTCCTCTTCAACAGAAATGCAGCTTTGGTCTATGCCGTGGTCCATGCGACGTGCAGTTCTTCGATCCAGTAAAACCAAGAAATGGTGAAGATTTTCATCAAAATAAAACTGATTTATTATGACCACAGTTCTTCTAGTAGAAAACTTGTTAGTGATGCGTTAAGGAAAAAATAGCATTAACAAGTCACAATAAAGACGCCTCTCTTCCCATCGTTTTCTACTAGTAATGTTGCAGGATGCACAGTCCTTGCAAAAAGCGGATTCAGACAAAGTCAGAGATGGTGACTAATATTTGTATTGTCCTATTCAAAGCTGTAATAAAGATATATAAATATAGGCGTGTGGAATGATCGTAATTTTAAATTTCTGGGATGCTTAGAGCACATAGAATGAGTTACGGCCATAAATTGGCAGCGAAGTGGAAATGGGCCAAACGGTTCGTGGTCATAAATATTCCTGAACATAAATTGGCAATCCTAAGAAGCTCTCCGGCGTCCCTCGAAGAAAAGGAATTTCAGCTTCGGAATATGCATTAAGAAAGGCAGTTCGTTATTTCTGTATACATCAAATACTCATAATGGGATAAAAAAATTGTTTCATGTGCTTTAGCATATATGATATTGTAGCTACCCTTTAAAGAACCATTTAACAAATTTTAAATTCTAAATCACAAAGTAATGAGTAAGTATACTGCTGTGAAACCTCGTTCCTACACTTGGAAAGCTGCAGTCGAGTCATAGAACCTCTGAGGATTTTTTTGGGTCACTCTCGTCTTTCCTGTCATCGTAGTGCCGTGAGTTTTTTTATCACTACTATGCACGTTAAAGACTCCAGGCTAGCAATACTGCATTTTTAAACTTTTTTTGTCTAAAGCAAAGACACCCATTGAGGGTGACTAACTTTCTGTCGTATAAAGTTCAGTGTTGTGCAAAATACTCAAGAGTATTGTAGATGAAATACTAAATACACATTTGAAAATGTATCTAGAGTAGTGGCAATTTACTTTTACCACGAACTATCATGAGTAGAGTACAAATAATTTAAAGAAAGTTAGTGCATTACTTTTGAAGGTACTATGCAAGTAGGCTATAGGCTGGTAATAGTGTGAATAAAAAACGCCACAAGATGGTGCTCTACTTGTGATGACGAATATCGCATTATGCTGTCACATTTTTTACTTTCAAGCTGCTTCAATCGAAGTTTACTTGAAATAATTTGGATATGCAACATAATGGAACAAAAAGGAGTCATATATTGTAGATATTGCCACGCGCGTCGCCGAGCAAGCGCGTGCGTGGCCGAATGCTTCAGCACCTGACTGTCGCGCGGATGGTCTAGGTTCGATTCCAGTCAGCGGAATATCCTCAACTTGGCGTTCTTGTAAGTTCTAAAACATTCTCGTCTGATCGAGTTTCAAATTTTCTACGCGTCGGAAGTTGTATGCCGAATGTTCCAGAAACCCACGAGGGTACATAAGGGACCCCGCATGGCGAGTGGAGTTAGTCTCGCTCCAGCGTTCGATCCAGCTGTTTCGCCGACTTCGACGCCGCGACGCTTTGCTGTTATCTTCAGTTACCTTTTTGTTTTGTGCACAAGTTCGCCCTATTAAACATTTAGTTTCTTCAGTTATCAACGCCTCATCAATCGTCCTTCGTGACAATATGACACCCGACCTGCTTTAGTTTCGTGGCAGGCTCGGCTCCTGATGTATTCCGCAATTAGAGCTTAATACGCCTTGTCTCAATCCGGGGAACTTGACACGTAGTCCTGCATTGCAAGTTCCTTACAGCCGAACTAGAAGTTGATCAGGCAGACAGACTTGCTGGTGAGTACGCGAATGAACAACAAACGTGCGGGCTCAGGACAAACATCGGCTCAAGGAAAGCAGCCTCTGTTCCTGATCAACATGCAAAGACGAGTATTTTGTTTTCCCAGACAAGGGCAAAGAGAAACGAGGCGAGTTTAAAAAGTAATTTAAATTTATTTTTGTATTTGCGTGGTAGTATGGATATTATCAAAAGCCCTTTATTACTTTTAAACGTGGCCATCTCCTCGCTAGACTCATGTGCGCCAACGCGTGATCAATACATTGACGCCGCGGGAAAAAGAAAATATATTGTGGCTGACTCCGGAGCGAATGCAGCGCCGCTTTCAGGTCATCATCTGCATCAAACATCTTTACCCCCAAAGCCCCTTTGAGGGGTCTGAAGAGGTGAAAATAACTGGGTGCGAGGTCTGGCGAGTATTGCGAGTGCGGAATACACTCGAACCGCAGTCCTCTTATTTTTTCCGCTGTCGTACGTGCCGTGGGGGGGCGCGCATGTCGTGCTGCAGCAACACCCTTGAGCTCAGCAATCCGCGACGCTTTGACCTAATTGCAGCCTTCAAGTTGTTTCCAAGCAGGTTGGAGTATGATGCTCTGCTCACAGAGAGTCTTTTGGGCATGTAATGCTCAACTATTGGGCCTTTATGGTCTCAAAAGGCCGCGAGCATTAGCTTTCCCACCGTTGACACTGTCTTTAACTTCTTCAGCCTTTGGAGACGTTGTGTGTTGATAGTCCTCGCTTGCTCGCGTTGTGTCTGACTGGGCGTAGTGTGCCCAGCATTCATCACTGGTGACAATGCGTCGAAAAAAATAATTTCACTCGAATTTTAGCGTAGCAGTAGCGTCTTCAGGCTTCCACACGCTGCGCCTTAAGGTCCGCCATAAGTTGTTTTGGTATACACCTGGCGGGTACTTTGTGATATTGCAGAATATTAATACTGATACGGTACGTCGAGCCGTGACTAATATTCAATTCTTCATCCACTTCATCGATGGTGACACGCCGGTTCGAGTGTATAAGCCGTTCCACAGGAGAGATTGCGTTTAGCGTCGTTGAGGTGTGAGCTTGGCTGGTGCGAGGTGTGTTCGTCAAACTGGACGCTCCACTTTGAAAGTTTTGTGCCACTCGTTCACGTGCCGAAGCAATACACAGGCGTCTCCGTACTTCTTCAGCATCCTGCGATGAATATCCGCAAGTGTTTCGCCATTTGCGCCAAAAATCGGATAACCGAACGCTGCTCCTCCCTGTCCATGCTTACAAGGGGGAGGCCATTTTGAAGGAGCTGTGCTAACGTGACATTTCCCATCAAGCCCCAGGCCGGCGTGCACAGCTATTTCTTGTGGTAGGTCAAAAGATATATGCAGCTCAGAAGTCTATCACTAGATTTGATTTTCTAACGGCTAAATTGCGGTTACTTTTTGACTCTGCCTCGTGTTAGGAGGGTCAAGAGGGAAACACAGGTAACAAAGCACGTAACCTCGCCCTCCCAACAAACCTCCCCCCTCTCCCCTTCCTTTTCGCATCAGCTCAAGCAATTCACTTGACGCATCGAGATCAAGATTCAAGGAACAGAGTCCACCACTTTTAAACTAACTAGTTCTACCCGGCAGACACCTGGGTTTGAGGATTCAGAGGATGAAACAATGCGTGTATTCGGAAGATGATGTAGACGCTTTTGAACGAGCTTAAGGGTAAAAGATGAATCACAAAGGCACGGATGGGGCTTTAGGGAAGCCCACTCTATGTCACTGCAGCAGGATCTTGCTTCTTTGGCCGAGGGAGTTCCTACGCTGGCTTGAAAACATGTTCGAGCAGTATCTATCGTAAAGGGTGGTAAAAACAAAGACGCAAATCGGGGCAATGGTGAGGATGCAAGCTAGCTGGTGTAAATTGATCATAGTTGTTAACCGTCGTCGTTCTGTGATCTCGTCCCTTGTCCGTATCTCCACTCTCGGGTTTACAACAAATGTGCAAAACGGGCCCGCAAAAATGAGGGAGGTGGAACCCCCCCCTTTTTTTATAACTTCCGTCAGCCATTTTAGCCCAGGAACGTGCGGCAGTGTATGGACGAGAAGTGAAGGGACAGCGCGCCGGGACGCCGGAGATGGAAAGGTTGAGAGGGAAAGGGAAGAAAGAACATCACGGGCGGGAGCGAGAGAAAAGGCACCCTTTGCGGGATTCTTGAGTGGCTCGGAAGGGCAGAATGCAACAAAAGCAATGACTTTTTCAGTCCATCGAGATGGAATGTTCATCGGGTCAAAATGGTCAGCAGGCCACGTGAGACGCTTCTCCAAATTTTCACCGAGACAAAATGTCCATTCAGGTCGAAATATCCACCGAGTCAAAACGTCCATCGGGTCCTTTCTTTTCTGTTTTACTTGCAAGGTTTGGAAACGCGACAAAAAATATTCTCAAACAGGGTCCACCCAGGACCCAGAAAAAAAAAAGTAACTGAGAGCTCCGAAACCACAAAGTGCGTGAAAAGTGTCATTTGAAACATTATCTTTACACATACACGCTCCATGCCACCCTATTAGTCGGTGTTTGACCAGTTGACCCAATGACGAAGAGTACTATGACGAATTCCTCTATATGACCAACAGCTCGGCAGGGAGTTGCCCTTTCACGAATTGTCTTTGAACGAACGCACCACCAAGTATATAGGAGGTTCAGTTTAAGGTTTACTATGCTCTGTTGTGTCTGGGGGCCTTGTGGTGTGGTCAAGTGTAACGCTGCTTGAGACAACAATGTGCCATTAACTATGGAGCTTTAATTTAAAGGTTTTTATTACAAACGTCATGTGCGGGTCGTCCTCTTTCTGCCGAAGTCAGCTTATTAATCTTCCAAATTTGATAAAATTATTACAGGAGCGAGAAAATTGTTGCCCGTCATGCGGAGCCAGGAAGGTATTCTCGAGTGTCTTTTTAATCTTTGTGTTCATTTATTGTTGAAGTCATCTTATCTAAATGACAAAAATTTACAGTAATTGTGCGGCAATTATAGCTCCATCAAACATAGGTACTACCATAGCCTCCTCTATACTGACAAAGCCTGGCAGATCGCCACGAGACGCGGCCGCCGAAAGCGAAAAGGTAGAGCGGTTGACAAGAGTCATGTAACGGGCGCCCCGCTGCGGCGAGACGCCGAAACACACTTGCACCAAGCGATGGAATGTCCGCTCATGCTCCTCGCGTTCCTCGGGCTACCGTTTCTTTTCTCGTCGGGTTTCAAAACCATGTTTCGGGTCCTCGCCGCTGCAAAAGCTGTGGCCTGAATACCAGACTGCCCAAGAAACG